GCAACTTTCACGGGAGGGGGGTTATACATCAAACTGTTAATAGCTTCTAGTAAAGACCAGTTGTAAGCAACGTTCACGGGAGGGAGGTTATACATCAAACTGTAAACAGACCCTAGTAAAGACCAGTTGTAAGTAACGGTCACTGGAGGGAGGTTATACATCAAATTGTAAATAGCCTCTAGTAAAGACAAGTTGTAAGCAACGTTCACGGGAGGGAGGTTATACATCAAATTGTAAATAGCCCCTAGTAAAGACCAGTTGAAAACAACATTCACGTGAGGGAGGTTATACATCAAACTGTAAATAGACCCTAGTAAAGACTAGTTGTAAGCAACGTTCACGGGAGAGAGGTTATACATCAAACTGTAAATAGACCCTAGTAAAGACCAGTTGTAAGCAACGTTCACGGGAGGGAGGTTATACATCAAACTGTAAACAGACCCTAGTAAAGACCAGTTGTAAGTAACGGTCACTGGAGGGAGGTTATACATCAAATTGTAAATAGCCTCTAGTAAAGACAAGTTGTAAGCAACGTTCACGGGAGGGAGGTTATACATCAAATTGTAAATAGCCCCTAGTAAAGACCAGTTGAAAACAACATTCACGTGAGGGAGGTTATACATCAAACTGTAAATAGACCCTAGTAAAGACTAGTTGTAAGCAACGTTCACGGGAGAGAGGTTATACATCAAACTGTAAATAGACCCTAGTAAAGACCAGTTGTAAACAACTTTCACGGGAGCGGGGAGGGAGGTTATACATATAATATAATTCCTCGCCCTATCTACATCGATTAGTAAATTTAAATATTAAAAGTGATAATTGTTGTTATATTTATCATAATGCTGTCTCATTAACGTATTCTCTGCATCTCTTTATTCATAACACTCCCCTATTGAAAATAGACTTATTAGACAAACCCCCTTATCATTCCCCCCCCCCCCCCCCCAAAGAAAAACCATAGTAAAGTGAATTTAAAACAAAATTTTTTTCCTTGATTAACACTTTAATAGACAATTTTGTCGAAACTACCTTGGTTACCTATGTGAACGCAGTGTTGACCGTGGGTTTCGATTTCACTGTGATTATTCATGTTGGATACACATTAAAAACTAATGCGAAAACTGAGCCGATGACTTAACAAACTTTACGAAAGTCAGTTTATGAGAGCATCGGCCCAGTTTACACACCAATAACCTCTAAAACAGATATGTTTAATATATAAAATAGTAACAAAGAGCTTTTGTGTACAATATCAATTTTATGTCTCATCACCTTTCCTTAAAATCAAGAGATCATTTAAGGATATTTAGAGTTTTTGGACTAGTTCCAATGAAAATATATTCAAAACTGGATCTCTTAACACCTGTTGTGTTGACAAATAACATCCATTAGTTTACTAGAATTATTCCATTTTCACCTTCAGTATCGCTCTTCCTTTTTCTGCAAGAGCCTGTTTTTAACCAGAGATCCATGATGATTACCGGTAACTAGGTTATTGTACTCGAGAAACATCAAGCGGTGACCAAGATGCTGAGTTTTATCCGGGAAGAATAATTTAAAAGGAACGATGTCAAGTTATAGAAATTAAGGTTGAGACAGAAAAATCAAATGACTATATTTCGTATTTAATTACCATAAACAAGTTGCTTTCTTTAAAAAAAGAAATGCAATCGTAAACCCAAATGCTTGTTTGGCATTAAATATCAGATAATTGTTTAATAAAGATGTGTTAACTTGTTTTATATTATTTTTGTTGTATAAGAACTAGAAACTGACATTGATTGTTTACTTAATGTAACTTTTGTTCAATGTGGAGTGAAATATTCTTGTTAAAGGAATCATTTTTTTTATCTCCTCTCTCCCTAAAGACAACATGCTAAGTCACCCACTGGATGTTCCATCCTAAGGTGCTGTTTGGTTTTTTTTTAGAAAAGAGTTAGTTTTCAGGCTAAAGTTCAAATGCAAATGTGAAGAAATTTAATCAATTAATCATGATTATTTGTTTTTGTAGCCAGTTTGAAAATAGTTAAAAATTCTAAGCTGCACACTTTTTTGATAATCCCACACTTAAACCATTTTTTTTTAAAACGTATCAAACTTGTTTATATATATATATATATATATATATATATATATATATATATATATATATATATAATGATTTATCTACATAAGACTCATCAGTGACGTTCAGATCAAAATAGTAACAAAGCCAAACAAGTACAAAGTTGAAGAGCATTGAGGACCCAAAATTCCAAAAAGTTGTGCCAAATACGGCTAAGGTAATCTATTCCTTGGATAAGAAAATCCTTAGTTTTTTCATTGGCAATCATAACACATCTCCTTATTTATATAATGATCTATATTCAACGACCTCAGGTACAAAAAAAATGTATGTAACTAAACTATGATGGGAAACCTTTGACTTCTTTCTTTATATAAACTTTTGATTTGGTACCATAGAACTATGTAGAGTAAATGTACATTGCAACATGTCAACTCTTTCAACTCCAAGCAAAATTATATTTCCAAGCATAAAGAAATTTATGAATGAAATAAAATGCTCCGCTGGGGCGCAGCTTGATACGACCGCAGAGGTCGAACCCTGAATAGTTGGGGCAAGTATGAACACAACATTCAAGCTTGATTCAGCACTGAGTTTGGATTGTAATTAAATATTTGACACAGCATAGGTTTCTGACACAGAATGAAAGTGGTCTAAGATACTTAAAAAAAAATAATTTACCTATTCAAACCATATCATTATTATTTGCTTTTATATATAAATCAGAAATAACAAATTTAAAATGGAAAATTTTAAAGAAAAAAAAGGAAAAAGAATCCCCCCCCCAAATTTTTTGAACCCCCTTATGATTCATCACCCCAAAACTCAATCCCAGCCTTCCCTTTGTGGTATGGTACCTTGCAGTACAATTTCATAAAGATCCATACACTTGAACACATGTTATTGTCTGGAAACTAGAAAAATGCTTGTTTTTTGGCCCCTTTTTGGTCCCAAATTCCTAAACGTTTAAGGCAATTACCCCCAAACTCAAACCCAGCTTTCCCTTTGTGATATGGAACCTTGTAGTACAATTTCATAAAGATCCATACACTTACACACAAGTTATTGCCATGAAACTAGAAAAATGCTTGTTTTTTGCCCCTTTTTGGCCCCTAATTCCTAAAATTTGGAGGCAATTACCCCCAAAATCAATCCCAGCATTCCCTTTGTGATATGGAACCATGTGATACAATGTCAGAGAGATCCATAGACTTACACACAAGTTATTGTCATGAAACTAGAAAAATGCTTGTTTTTTGCCCCTTTTTGGCCTCTAATTCCTAAAATTTGGAGGCAATTACCCCCAAAATCAATCGCAGCATTCCCTTTGTGGTATGGTACCTTGCAGTACAATTTCAGAGAGATCCATACACTTGAACACAAGTTATTGTCTGGAAACTAGAAAAATGCTTATTTTTGGCCCCTTATTCCTAAACGTTTTGGGCAATTACCCCCAAACTCAATTCCAGCTTTCCCTTTGTGATATGAAACCTTGTAGTACAATTTCATAAAGATTCATACACTTACACACAAGTTATTGCCATGAAACTAGAAAAATGCTTGTTTTTTGCCCCTTTTTGGCCCCTAATTCCTAAAATTTGGAGGCAATGACCCCCAAATTCAATCCCAGCATTCCCTTTGTGATATGGAACCTTGTGATACAATGTCAGAGAGATCCATAGACTTGCACACAAGTTATTGTCATGAAACTAGAAAAATGCTTGTTTTTTGCCCCTTTTTGGCCTCTAATTCCTAAAATTTGGTGGCAATTACCCCCAAAAATCAATCCCAGCATTCCCTTTGTGATATGGAACCTTGTGGTACAATGTCAGAGAGATCCATACACTTACACACAAGTTATGTCTGGGAGTTACAAAAATGGTTATTTTTGGCCCCTAATTCCTTAACTGTTGGTACCATAACCCCAAAAATCAATCCCCACTTTCCTTTTGTGGTATTGAACCTTATTTTAAAATTTCATTGAGATCCATTCACTTAAACTAAAGTTAGAGTGTGAAAACTAATGTGTCTTCGGACGACGACGACGCCAACGTCATACCAATATACAACCACAAAAAATGTTTGCGGTCGTATAAAAAGGAGTTCTAAATTAAGAAATAAACTGATTCGCTGAGCGCAGCTGGATACACCCGCAGAGGTACTACCCTGAACAGCTGGGGCAAAAATGGACACAATATTCAAGCTTGATACAGGTCTGAATTTTGATTGTAATTAAATATTTGACATATTATAGTTTCTGAATAAATGTAGTCAATGAACTTGAAATCGGTTATATGAATTGAATTTATGTTCAATTAAAGATTTCTTGCTGTTGTGCAATACACTGTGCTGTTGTGCAATACTTAATAAATCTGTTGCCAGACTATAAACAAATAAAGTTCAATTTCTTCTCAATGTCATATTTGAAATTTATGAAAATCAATAGGGAGATTACATCAATAGCTATAAATAATTCACCAAAGTTTCATGTGAACTGCTTAAAGCATTTTTGAGTTGTTGTCCAAAAACTGGAAAATCCCCCCTTTTTTAATGAATAAAACCCCATAACTCAGAAATGTAAAATCTAAAATTTATAAAATTCTAAAGGGAGCTTACGGATTGATAATTTAGTCTTAGATGCAAGATTTTTTTATCAGTTGTTAGTGGCTTTGAACTAGCTGTCAGTAACTGCGAGTACTCTCAGATTTGTACTTAGTGTCTTTTTGTTGTTTGGATGTACAACTACCTGACCACGTCCACTTGTATTTGTATTTATCCATCTGATGAGTTTAGCCTCTTTCAACTGATTTTTATAGTTCTTTCTTATATTGTACTGTTACAGCACTGTCCCAGGTTAGGGGGAGGGTTGGGATCCCGCTAACATGTTTAAGCCCGCCACATTCTGTATGTACATGTATGTGCCTGTCCCCAAGTCAGGAGCCTATAAAAGTGTAATTCAGTGGTTGTCGTTTGTTTATGTGTTGCATATTTGTTATATTTGTTCATTTTTTTACATAAAATAGGCCGTTAGTTTTCTTGTTTGAATTGTTTTACATTGTCATTTCTGGGCCTTTTATAGCTGACTGTGCGGTATGGGCTTTGCTCATTGTTGAAGGCCGTACTGTGACCTATAGCTGTTAATTTCTGTGTCATTTGGTCTCTTGTGCATGTGTGGAGAGTTGTCTCATTGGCAATCATACCACATCTTCTTTTTTATATTTACATCAACAGATATAAAAAATTCACCAAAGTCAAGGTGAGACAACAAAACTTAGTTGTAAGATCTCTGAAATTTTTTACACGGTACGAGTTTTTCTCATTGTTGGAGATTGTACGGTGACAGTAACACCTGTAACTGCTTAAACCCATTTCTTATGCACTTTAGTTTGATAAACTCACTGAATATCATACCACATCTCCTTATTTTTATATGCATTACAATTTACATGTGCATGTAATTGTAAATATATATATATCAGAACAAAATTCATTGCGTCACTTTTATTTATGCATCCTTTGGCACAATACAAGTTCTAAAATTAAACAACATAAAACAACTAAATGTTATTTCAGATGAAAGTTTTGTTTCAGTTCCATTCATAGGATTTATTAGAATTTTGTATGTTTTGCCAAGTCCAATAATTCGCTCTATGTGACATAGAGACATAGTTGACCAAACCACCAGGTGTCGAACATTCAAGAATTTTCAGTGTTTCTGTTTTTATTTGATGAAAAGGTTGCCTGAGCTCTAGGAGCTTTAGGTTTTATCACGGGATATTCTGTGCTGTCAATAATAATCCAAGTCGTAGGAAACTTTAATTTGAAGTTGGATGGTGAAAAATACCTGACTAAACCACTAGATGGCCAAGTGTTAGCCTCACACCACTGTTTAGACATAAAAACAATCCATGTATACACAATATTCTTAACACTAGATTCAATCTAGAATCTAGACAGTTCAAAGTTGGTTGTATGATGCCTCAATTTCATCAAAGTCATAAAAAAACTGATTTTCAACTGACACCCTATCAATTTGAAAATATATGTATCTCAAACAATGTGCTGCTGGACCAAGTGTGGTCAAAACAAATAAAAATTTAGTATACAACTCTAAACCGGTATAAAAATGCATGGCTGTGTCACGTGTCTTCATTTCAAAATTCTCTGCTGAAAACATAGGCATTGATGGTGTTTGCGTAATTCCATCTGTGAAGCTCAACATTAGCTCGGCAGTTGGTGGTGGACAGTCATAAATCCTTTCTGCAGTATGAATGACTTCTTCAGGAAAACCAACTTTACAATCAAAACTTTCCTCTAGATTTCTACTACAATATTCATCAAGTTTAGTTCTTTTATTTTCACAGGAAACTGCCCTGATTTTTCTTTTTGCGGATGATTCAGTCTCTTGCTTGGTCCAGGAAAATAGGCTGGGAATTGCAGTAGACTTAAGTCTCTGTATGGTGGGTTTGCGCCCTGAAAAAGGTTATAAAACATTAGTTTTTTATAATTAAATGAACTTCCATTAGCAATGTATACTTTATACTACCTGGCGAAATATTAACTAGATTTATTCATTACAATCTGGATCAAAGTACTGAAGTACTGAACATCGGATGACCGCAGGTTCTTGTGGATGGTCAAAAGCACATGTCACAGAAACAGATCACATCTCTATACCTGAAACTGAGGTTAATTTACAGAGATTTTTTTTTCTTATACAAGTTCGTGCTTGGATGATGAATAAATGACAGGAAATTCAACCTCACCGTAATAACTATTATATTGTAGTGATACAAATCAGTATACCTTAGACTATTATACTAATATAATAATAGTTCCAGAGAATACACTGGTTTGTTGTTATATATTATATTAATATTACGGTTGCATGTATATATAATTTTCATCTATTTGTATATCATACTATTCTACTATTATTATAGTGTAATGCAAGTGCATGGTGGACACTCTTCTGTAAAAAAAAATCAAAGTCTTAAAGGCTGTAAAAGCAATTGCTGCCATGTTAATGTTTTGTGGACTTTTATTTTTCATCCATATATATAAGAATTAAACCTGACAGGACAGGAGTGTTGACTAGTGAGAAGCAAGACGGTTTTAACTTTATATCAATATAAGACTTTAGCAGGAAATCATTTTAAATATGTTTTATATTTTACAAGGAGACAACAAGTTTACTAGGCTAAAGTTGGGGTTAATTATACATGTGCTGAAACATATAACTGAAAAAAAAAATCATTATGGATTATCCCCTGGTAGTGTTTGTAACTGGGCAATAATTTCCTTTATTGATTTAATTTTAACCATTTTCATAATTAATTTAAATTAACCATTCAGTTAAAACATTTCAACTTTCCAGACGCTAATGTTGAAAAACGGGACAGAAATAAAATATCTTACAAGACATAAACATGTAAAAAATAAATATATATTTCAGCTTACTAAAAATATTTTCATAATGTTACTTTGACATCATTTCTTAAAACTAAGTCCCAAACATAATTGCTCAGTTGACATGTGTCATCCTCATGCGATACGAGATAACTATAATTCTGATGCAATCCCGAAAAGGGGGGTAATCACAAACAAACATGACATTAAATTGTCATTATACGAACTAGAACAAACAGCTCTATGTTGCTTTGATATTTATCAATTTTCAGGAAACATGTGAAATAAATTTCAGGTCCATTTCATTATAGTGCCTAACAAGATTGTGTGAGGTAGACGAAATTGACCTTAAAACGATCGTATTGTCTTTTGATGTCCAAAAATAGGCAGATCGGACATATACGGACTTTATCTAATGACTACATAAATTTGGGATTTATTATTATTATAATATTCTAATGAAACTGAAAATTGTATTTTTTTTTAGGATAAACAACAATTTTACCTGGCGTAGCCGTTCATAAATGTTTTTCTGCATTTATCTTCGAAAAATGGCGTATTTAATGGAATAGAACGTTAATACAGTAAACTTTCTCTTTTTTCTCCGCAATAGGCTATCAAAAATAATTTATCTAATGTGTATGTGGAAAATTATGTGAAAAGATAAAAAGTGGCAATTGTTACCTTTCATACCTTAAGTTTCGTTCATCTGATTCTGACCAATGCTTATATACTAAATATCTATTTATATGCCGCTATTATTGTTGTTGTTACCAATTATGTAAATCAATTGTATCTGATTTTATGCCCTTTATGGGCCCTGTTATTTGGGAAATAAAAAAAAAATCTATTCATTGATAAAACGTAATATGGACTGGTCCAGTGTCCAGTTTGCAGGTCATTTAATTTTCTGTACACATTCATGCACGCTCTGATTTAATCAATATACTCGTACGAAAAAGCATGAACAGTTTGAAGGTAATCTAATAATAACTTAATCCAATCAAATTGCATAAGATTCAATAACAATATCAAGTCCACATCATAATGAGTAATAGAGGTAAACTGGATAGGGAGAAAATGACAGATATTTCAAGTTAATATTTATGCAATAACGAATTAAAATTTGTCAACCAAAAGTTTTGCTACAATTTCAAAAACATGTCGTTCTGTATGGGTATAGTTTTCGGATCTTTCATTAGCGTATTTAAGGCTATAAAAAGTTTGGGCTTCAAAAGTTCACACAATTATTGACTTTATACAGAAAATTCGTCCTTGTAAAACATTTAATAGTTCACAAATGATACGCGATTTTAAAGTAAAATTATTTCTTAAAACACTGCAAAAAATTTCATTCATATTGATAAAGTGGTATCGTCATAAAGTGCGTTGAAATGAACAGTGGTATAGCAAACATCGAATTCCCTCACAAAATATTATCACACACTACAGTAAGGGGAGTCAGTTAAGTTTGTCTATTTTTAGATACTATACAGGTAATCTTTTGACCACTACGTATACAACCTGTGTGACCTGTGTAGTGATTTTGATTTTACGATAAATTCATGAATGAACGATAATTTTATGAATGAACATGAGCACCTGACCTCTTTCTTAAACACCTATTAAACATATAAAACCGTATTTAATAAGGAGATAATTCAGTCAAATTTTCAGTACTAAATCAACAACAAAAATGATTCCATTTTTGGATGAAACATCGTACGAACGGAGAACGGAATCGCAGGTATAAAAATGCACTATTTTCCCTTGTAATGACCGCGGATCTATAATTTTTATAGATCGGTTGCATAATGGAAATTTAGACGATAGCAATACATCGGAGTGACCTCAAGGTCATCCTCTGTAATAAAACTATGTTTGCCTGATTCAATGTATGTTATGTAAATCCAAAGAACAAACAATGAGAGACTTATGCAACAAACGTACATTGTTTGTACCTAAATAACTATAATATAGATGAGAGCATGTCATTGTTTTGTTCCTGTTAACATTGTCATTGATATTTTTCAAGAAAGTCTATGAGGCATAGCTTATGCATTCCTGTCATTACTACATTAGCATAATTACTGCTAAAATAATTCTCAGTATGATATACCTCTTGTAAGAAATCATTATAATTGTAGCAATCACCAAAAAATCTCAAACAGATCACATTGAATCGTAATCCAAAAAATTATGACGTCTTGAATTACCCACCCCCTTTTATTCTAAAACGATAATTGCGGTTGTAAACAGACTTTGGTTTATTCGCATGGCGATTACATATATAACTATATATTTCACAAAGAAAATAGAGTTTTACCATGAATAGTTTCCTGCACGTAGTCTTTTTCAGTAGAACGTGCCTTGCAAACAACAGCTGATTGAGATGGACTCCACGATATCATCGTGTTCTCGTCCAATCTGCGTATGGGCCATGGCGTTGATCCAACTTTTCCTTCTTTTTAAGTCATTTGGAAATGCATGTCCTCCTCTTAAATGACATCCAGGTACACAACAACAAGTATTTGGCATCGTTAATTAAAAATATAACTGAAATAGTTGCAGTGTAGAAACCGGAAGAAGAGGAACAGGATCCGCTACCACGGCGCCACCTATTCAGGAACGATAATTTGCTACTTTATATAACTGCGAAAATAACGTTATACGGGTTCTCGTGCATAAACAGAAATGCGCTTTAAATTGTATAATATAATTCATGTTCAGTCGACCTTTAATTATTATATCAACGACTGAAATGATTTATAAACATCTAGATTGCAGATAACACTCGAAATTAACCCGAGCTCTTTCCACACGGAATTCAAATAATTCTAGTTTGTCAATCGGTTGACTGCTTATAATGCAAAATACTAATATATCAAAAGTTTTTAAAACTAACAAAACACAATGATCGTTTCTCTATTTCCCAATGTAAATGAAATGAAACAAAAAACATTTTATATCGCAATAAGAAGAGGAGAGAATTCAACATTTCCGGATCTACTTGGAGTCTAATGACCCCCACGTAGATAAGTTGGATATCGCGGAAGGAAGGATTAACCCGGCAACTAGAAAGGCATTAAAGCACTGCCTTTAAAAACGGATCTCTGACTTGATAAGGTAATCATCACTAAATAAGTACGTAAACAATATTGCTAATCTTTTCTCGAAAACCACATACCGGTAGTTATTTACAATAGTTTTCGATGGCAAACATCGAGGAATATATCAAACAAGTAATAGCTTTTCTAAAAAGCTTGCCGTATTTTAGCTGCTTATACATGTATTGAGATCGGTGGTTTGTGGGTATAGGGTTTTTTATTGGAATCTTGCACTCCAAGCATTAGAATATATAGTGTCTTTTTTCTCCTGGTTTTAGATTTTAGTTGTAGTATTGGTGAATCAGGGTTATCATTGAAGGAGGCTTGATAGTCACATATGATAATATATATATGGTTTGTAATAGCTAAAGTAACGATACAAACACTTTTGTGTTTGTTTTGTGGAATATGATTGTTTACTCTTTATGACAACGCAAGTAGATTTAACATGCATTCTGTGTCTTGACAGTTATGTAAATAATAGTTAGCAAGGTTATAATCAAGTTGATAAGAAAAACGTATAATTATTTACTTTTGAGGATTACTGCTAGACAAAATGGACTACCAGTGGCAGATCTAGAAATTTTCATAAGAGGGGGCCAGCTCCAGTCATGCTTCAGTGATTCACTACATGTATATGATCAACCAAAGTTTTCCCACGAAAGGGAAGGGTCCCTGAAAAACTCTCTAAATCCGCCTCTGACTACTATAGTTGGCCGTTCGAATATGAGAATATTACATCTTATATGTATAGAAGACAGTGGTCTCTTTAGCCCAAATTAGAAGGGCGCCGCACCCTGGGTGCCCTTAGCCACGCCCTGGGTGCCTTCAATTGCGCTCCTCTCTGACACCTTTTTCCAAGGGGGGGGGGGGTGAGAATAGTAAGTTTATTTCGCTTCTTTTGGTTAATAGTGATCTGATGTATGAATGTGTATTGCCATGTTTTATGAACATGTAGTATGAATGACTTTTCTAATGCAAATTTGATAGAGTAAATAATCAAAACAACAACTTATGCATCTTTATTAACAACATATTCAGTAAAAAAAAAGTGAACTCGTGATACACACAGAAACGAAGACAAAAGAAATGAAAAGTGCTTTTTCCTATCATATAAGTGCCCTGCCCTTCACTGGCACCCTGCCCCTTTCTATTTCTAGCTGGAGCACTTCAAGTGATGAATATCTCATCTGGGTTTTGTCTTAGAAGAAGCAATTAGTTTTGAAGGTACAGGTTAAGTGTTGTTATTACTAATTTCCAGATGTATAACTGTAAGAAGATGTTTTGTGGTAATGGATTTGGAATGAAATATTAGTTGCAAATAATTTTCTAGAACATGTTGTCAGCTGGTTTCTTATATTTTTTATTATTTTGTTGCAGTTTGTAATCTTGACATTTTTTTGTAAGTTCTATAGATGAGAGCTTCATATTGGTATTATCATTTAGTGCTTTATATTTGGTTGCATGTGTAAGCATATGCTTTTGTTAGTTGGAATATTTATATTTTCATTTCTGATGGCAACAAGTTCATGTAATACATATAGTCAGGATTATTAGTAAGCGATAGTTGTTTTGTTTGTTTATGTTTATTGTCATGATTGATATGGACTATATAACTTGCTGTTTGGTGTGAACCAAGGCTTCATGTTGAAGACCGTACTTCAACCTATAATGGTTTACTTTTACAAATTGTGACTTGGATGGAGAGTTGTCTTTGGTACTGATATGACATTCTGTTATATCTATCGACAAGATTGAGAACACATGTTTTTGTAATAAAACATATTTAATTCTATGATATCATATTTAACAATTTATCGGTAATTTGTGCATTTTTCCTTTGATGTGTACTCTCTGATAATGTCAGTATCAGTTGACTGGTCGTGATATATAAATTATTGGGTCAGTTCACAATTGACATGCTCAGGTGTGCTGTGTCATGATCTTCTTTCCCCTTTCATTCACAAAATCATGCATGATTTTTTTTTGGCAGAATCGCAAGAGTGTTTTGGTGAATGAAACACTTCTCATATTGTTTGAAAGTTTCAGTAACGTTAGTTTTGCCTTTTTGACAGATTGTGTGAAAATTTGAACAGAATATGAACATGATGAATAAAAAACCCAATAAACTTTAAAAAAATGCACCATTATCAATAGCTTCCCTTGCTTATTTACAATGATGTACAAAATGTATAAATATATCATCCATGCTATTCCGATCTGAGTTTTTATTCATACATAGTATGGTGCTGTTCCAAGTAGTCTTCTTTTTCTGTTTCTTCAGAAGTATTTGTTTTACCTGTTCAGTCACTTTAAAGTGTTACAATTAATATTTAGACGCAACACAGAATAGTGACCAAAAAGGTACTGCTATCATATGAGAGGAGCTAGAAAAAAAAATGAAATGTACACATTATCAACATTTTTGTGGGACCATCAAGATGTGGTTTCAATGACTTTTTTGTCAATATATAGACAGATATTCATAGACCAAATAACAAATAAGCAACAAATTCAAAAGTAGATGTAGGATGAATTATAGAAAGAAGGGGTACCTGGGGGCCCGAAACTTGACAAGGTTTGGTTTGGAACAAGTAATATGTCTGCATTAACATTAAATGTAGGTTTTAAAAGGGGGACCCAGATCGCCTTTCCCAAAATCCTTTTCTGAAATGAAAGGTAACCCCATATTCCTGGGCGCAGTTGAAAAATAAATGAACATGACTTTGAAAAAGCAAGAATATTAAGCTAAAAGAAATAGACCAAATTTGGATGACATCTATTAAAATGTTTGAAATAATTATGAAGTTGACAAGAAATGAACTTGTTCAGATAATATAAAGTACAGTCAGCCTACAGATTTGTTGCTTCCTGAAATGTCTGCTTACACAGTGCTTTCCTAAAATGATTTGTAATGTGATCGTTTTCATGATGAATGATGAGCAAACATAGATTATGCTGTTGGTTTTCACGTTTGAATTGTTTTACATTGTTATTTCGGGACCTTTTATAGCTGACTATGCAGTATGGCCTTTGCTCATTGTTAAAGGCCATAGGGTGACCTATTGTTGTTTATTTCTGTGTCATTTTGGTCTTTTTTGGAGAGTTTTCTCATTGGCAATCATACCACATCTTCTTTTTTAATATTATAATGACAAGATAAATGTTATGTTACCCACACAACTAAGTAAAATATATAACTTCTCGTTGAACTTCTAAAACAACGCTAAATCTGCAGATTCATATCGTATCATTCAATGCTGTCAGATGCTATGTGAAAAATAAAGAAATTTACCTTAATGTATGCTTCCATTATATTCAGCATTGTTATTCAGTTATGTCCAAAGCAGAACTTATGAAAGGCATGCAATAATTTATTTTCAATAGATGCATTTGAAAAATTTATTTTCGGCACTAGTAAAGCGACGTCTATGTTCATGATGTCATGTGATCATCTATATATATAAGAATATTTCATTAGAGTTGATTTATTAAAGATGGCTTTGAATCCTACTTATTGCTATTTGTCTGCAATTACTGGCCATCACAAAGGTTCACGTAAAATCTTGACGTCATAATACAAAATATCTGACGCTTGTGACAATGGAAAAGTGATTGTAGTATGATGTCAATGGTTGAAGCGGGACAGATTCTCAGGTCAGCTGGGACAGAATTCCATAAAGTGATTAGGTGTATGGTTATTATATATGGGTACTATGTTCAGGAGGATGAATTCTAATATATATAGTAAAATACCTGTTCGGTTTTGGATTAACATCCTGGATCTGGCTTTCCTTATCAACCACCATCATTGTTAACGCATCCAAGTCATAAACTAGAGCCTTTACATAGTCAGTTCAATCTGCCAATATCACATATTACAAATACTTAAACAAATACAGCCGATAGATTAAACTCAGCACCATTGTATATTGATGATTATACATATAGTATCAGCTCATTCAGATTTGAAAAGGTTAGCAAAATAGCAGCACCATCTGAAAATGGGAAACCTTGATTATCTCGAGCATGTGAATCAAAGCAAATAGCAATTATCATCACGACGAAATGTACTTATTGTAAGACCTGATACATTGTACATTGTAATGTGAACAAATTAGAATTGGATTTATTTATATCAAACATTTGTCAAATGCAGTTCTCAGTGCTGTTGATATATCAATTAACAATGACTGCTGAGCGCCACTGTGTACAGTGGCAGATCCAGAACTTTTCATAAAGGGGGCCTATATAATCAACCAAGGGGAGGGGCGGCCCCAGCCCCCCCCCCTTTTTTTGGATCCGCCTGGGGTGTACAACGACTCCAAAGAATAAATCATCATGTACGAGTACATTAAACTGTCTACCCCACATGCGAACATCATTTGGGACCTCGCTGTGTTGCAAGTATCTTGGGTTTTCAGGCATATTAATTCAAATTGCTCATTCTGCCTTTTTTAAGGTTCATGTGGACCCATTGGCTAAAATGGCTGCATTTTCACCTCAAAATTTACTCTATGTACAGACAAACCTGCGCATCTGGAAAAATTTTAAGGCATAGCATGCCCTAGATAAATAAACTTCTAATGCATTGTATGTTTTAGAAAATTTAAAACTTGACTGGATTTTGCAGTGCACTTTTTTTCGTCCCTGCAGAAGATGATAAAATAAACAAACAGTCGAGTTTCACTTGATATGGTCCACTCAGGTACACAGTTTAAATCACCAATTAGTGTCAGGTATCTATTGTCCATCTATTGTCCATGCCAATCAATACAGTTCACTTCAATTATTACCTGTGGGGAAGTTCTCAAACCTCTTTCCCAACTTAGTTTATTTTGGCACCTTCTGTAGGAATGAAAAAAAGTGCACTGCAAAATCCCGTTAAGTTTTTAATTTTCTAAAACATAAAATATATTTGAATTTTATTTATCTAGGGCATGCTATGCCTTAAAATTTTTTTAGATGCACAGGTTTGTCTGTACTCAGAGTAAATTTTGAGGTAAAAATGCAGCCATTTTAGACGAAGGGTCCACATGAACCTTAATTTCATCTATCTATACTACTTACTAGTCGTAGACGTCCAGCTAGAGGGGTCATTAAACAAACTATAGTGCACTGAAACCATTGCCCATAACTAAACCGTGATGATTGGTGTTTGCTACCTTGCACACACGCAACCATATTACTCAGCTTGTTTGTTTTCTATTCTTCTAATCAGCTGTTTATCGGCAATTGTCTGTTTTGTTTACATCAGAAATTAATGAAGCGGTGAATGCGCGGGGAAACGAAAGGACATCTTCGTATCAATACGGTAAATTCCGTGATTTGAATATTTTCTAATCAATATGTTCAAGCAATGAAAAATATGAGGATAACATTTTTAATCATAGAGCACACGTTTTGTGTATTTACTATTTAAAATTATAGTTTATGAAGAAATATAGCAAAATATGTTTCAATACGCACTATAAAGTGAAGATTAGATATTATTGTTTTGTTTTTGAAAGAACATTAATAATCCATAAACACACCTTTGTACCAAAATTGCAACAAAATTTCAAGATAACATAATTTCATCATCACAGAATGACATTATTTGCTCAAATTGACAGGGCTTCGTGAACTAAATTTGGCTTAAATTATGATAGCAATTGAACACTTCATTATAGTTTCTACCGATGACCTACTATCATGATTTTTATCCGACCCCACTTACGGACGCGTTGACATATAATGCATACAACTCAATAATAGCCAATCAGACGTTAAGATATCCTTCACTTCCCCCAGAAGCAGCCAGGAAGCAGCTGAGATGCAGCCATTTAATGTTATTTATAACCAATGAGATACCGTTAACAGATTAACCACATTCCAGACGTCCAGCCTCTGACTAATCAGACCGTATCACCATGGTGATACGGTAATCACATTTTTGTTTATTGCAATGACCATAAGTTTTAAAGAATTAGGAAGTCAGTGTTCTTGAATCGTTTTATATAGATCTATAGAATAATTTTAAGGATTTAGTCTAACGCGTTTTCATCAATCAACTGTATTGATATGACATGATTTTGCATTTAATTGGCCAGACGCTTATACTATTTCACTGATTTAACACACCCAAAAGGTGCCTTTTGAATTTCGTCTTAATTTCCAGGGTTAACTGGCATTGTTTTTTCATATAACATTGATAAAAAAAATATGGACATATGCGACGGTATGATTGCCAAAGAGACAACTATCCACTAGAATTCAAATGAAGTGGAGGTGAGCAATTACTGGCAACCGTATGGCCGTACTTTTTTCTGTTAAGAATTTAAAAGCTGCTTAAATGGACTGCGCTCTTTTTTTTATTCCGCTAAAATGGTTAAATTTTAAAATCATAAAAACGCCCTATCTATTCACTGACAGTAACTTTTTTCACTTAAAATCTTATCCCATATTGGAGCACAGCTTGTGCTTCAGAAAACTCAGTCACACATCAACTTCTATTAATTAACTACAGTAACTGATGTAGGATATCTAGGACGAAATATATTAGTATAATAGTCCCAGGGGATATCAAAAATATATATAGTCTCGATAAACACTTATCTCTTCAACAACCGTATAACGGTAATGAATATTTATTTATATCAATTAACTCCCTATTACGCAGGAGGTCATAGAAAAGAACAGATGCATTCCGAAAAGACTTCCGGTGTTCCGAAAGACTACGGAGGTCGTCCAATATATACTGCGTAAACCCTCAGGGGTTTGCGCAACAAATACTAAAAAAAAATATTCAGTGTCGACATTTTAGTGAGGCAGTTGCCTCACTTGACTCAATGGTAGTTACGGCTTTGGGTCACTACAACATATTATACTTGAAATGAAGAATGTTAAAATACGTAGATCGCAAATTTAATTACTTGTCAAAAAAGCTGTATTATATATATCATCTCCCTTCGGCGTCCATCCGTCCACGATATGCACACCGAAATAGGTTGTATTTCTAATTGTTAAAGTTGTTCTTGACATATAGTTATAATTGACATTTCTTCATGGATCTAAACTGCTTCAATTTTGTTTATTCATTACAGATTGTATGTAACCTACTATTATCTTATGTTTAGGTCTATTTCACAGCCATAGGTTCTTCTCTGAAAAAATACTTATATCTATACATTTAGTTAAGTACCATGCAGTATATATTTTAATTCTTTAGAGAAAAGCGCATATACTCAACTTTCAGAATCGTCAGCCTTTTGCCGTCAAACTGCATGTGTGCAATTTTTTTTAACTATGACATGTATGATAAAAAAATGATATAGATTCATGGTTTATTTCAAACTCTATGCTCACATGCTCACATCTGAATGCGTCAGATATCTTTTTTTAAAGATAGTACTTGATTTTAAATAATTAAAAAAAGAATTTTATTGAAAAACATATTTTGCATTTTTTTTTAAACCTTGAAGCATATACGAAATTTCCATCCCGAATAAATGGGTATTATAGAATACAGTACATACCTATATTCGGTTATATTTTCCGGTTTAATTTCAAAATTTTGAACAGCCATCTTGATTTCAGGTGAAAAAAATATATAAACTGAAACCATGCACAGGTGCGAGACGAAATGTATTCAGATGAAATACATATATTAAAAAAATCTCGTCTCGCACCTGTGACTTATTAAAGTCATATGATACTTCAAATTAAAAAATAAAAGTTGAAGATGTTTTATATACTTGAATGGCTAAGTTTTACTATAAAAAAAGTAAAATAACAAAAATACCGAACTCCGAGGAAATTCAAAACGAAAAGTCCTTTATCAAATGGCAAAATCAAAAGCTCAAACACATCAAACGAATGGAAAACAACTGTCATATTCCTGACTTGATACATGCATTTCCTTAATATGTAGAAAATGGTGGATTAAACCTTGTTTTATAGCTTTATTTGTTCTTTAAAATGAGCCATAGATGAAGATTTAAGTTCTGGTTTACGAGTTTAAATGTCCTATATGGTCTCAGTTGGACACTTGATGGGACATAGCCGATTCATCTGACTGGAATCTTTTTTGGCATACAAATACTGAATTTAACGTTATCGCCTGCTTAAGATACAAAAAAAAAATAGCCCAGCTTTATATCGATTTTGCTTTCCAATTTTTTTTTTCCGATCCATTAAGAAAGCAGCTACCCGCCCTTTTCTTATAAATGAATAAAAAATAAAACTGATCTGATTGGTCTAATTTTGATCGCCGACATCGACGTGAAGATCGTCGAACACACAGTCATTCTGTTCATCTCGGCAATTCCTTACGACAAAGTTCTTGGCCACACCTAGCTCAAATGAAAGGTATTTAACTATGCCATGCCCACAAAAATATCGAACCGGGATTTGGGCCGATGAGGGCACTACAGGGGTTCAAAATTGCAACTTTAAGTATTTGTCTGATCAACCATACACTCTTTCGGTACTCCTCGGCACTGCCGTACGGAAAATATGTTGTCCGTCTGGTGTTAGGTGATAAGCTATTGTGCATATCGTTAACTCACCATCTCGTTGGGGTGCATTAATGCATCCTAATTGCACAGCGGCGTGCCATATTTCGAGTCACCTATCCATGGGGAACTATGGGAACTTGCACACTCTTATGTATTACTGTACTTGCTTAATCCGAAGCAATACCCTGTACTTGCTTAATCCGAAGCAATACCCCGTACCATTTATCTATTGAAAACATAGAATCATGGAGCACGTGAAAAATAAGTGAGATGATAGAGCGATATTTCTTCAGTTTTTTATATAGTCCATGCGTTCCAATTGGTTAATTAAATTTGTTAATGATTTTGTGTATTAAAATTTATAATCGATTTGTTGACCTTGTCTTTCATTACTGTTTTTCCTTTCGCATTTCCGCTGTGAGATTGTCGATATTCTAACGAGAGATGTCATGGTTAAGGTGACTGCATACGAATTAGCTGCCGGCGAAGTAGAGAAAGACAATAATTCAATAACAGTTATTTTTCAACTGATTTTTATAGTTTTTCGTTCATTTTTTTGTACATAAATTATGCCGTTTTCCCGTACGGTGACCTATAGTTGTTTATTTCTGTGTCATTTGGTCTCTTGTTAAGAGTTGTTTCATAGGCAATCACACCACATCTTCTTTTTTATATTGTACAATTTTGAAGTTTTGAATAAAATAAAGGATTAATTTTTAAAAGATGTACACGTGTTTTATAGTTAAACTTGAGCATCAATTATATAAAACAGTCAACTTTTTTTGTTAGATATGATGTATCATATGACTTTAATAAATTGCAAACAACAATATACAGTTTGAAATAAATTGATCTGAGCATAATCCAGTCAGTGTGAAAAATTGTCTTAAATTTGACAGTTCAAGTTCAAAGTATCGAGCCACGTCAAATGAATATTACCAAAAATAGACTAACCAGTAAAAGTAATAATTTACAAAGACAAATAAAAGAATTATATATAGCTTTAACTCGTTAAAAGTCAAACAACAGCCCACACGACACTACTCAGAAATCTAAACATTGGACAACACGCCCCTTTCCCCCATAATAACAAAACAAAAACAGATCTGACGAAGTATACTAATTCAAATAACTATTAAGAATCAAACTTCTCAGAGGCAAAAGATGAATTTGGCTACTCTTTTTAGGTATCTTTTGGCAATTTAGCTCCTAACATTTGTAGGTATTTATGCATCTGGCTTTCAAATGTTTCGGCTTGAGCGTTCCTGACGTGGCTCGGTACTTATACAACCCGTCATTGTGTTATTGTGCTATGTAAAATTTTGTATTCTTGTCTTTCGTTTTTGCTAATATGCTTTGTCGATATGCCTTTTTGTTTTTCTTTGTTGACATATTAGTTGTTTTTTATAGTGATTAAGATTATAACACAATGTTGACTGCTGTATCCCTGTTTTTGACATTTTTACCTATTATGTCTGTTTATTTTGTTCACACATCGTTGTCAATATAATTCATGGAATTTTATGCGACTGTCATACAAGTGAGAGGTTTAGCTAGCTATAAGACCAGGTTTAATCCATCATTTTCTACATAAGAAAATGCCTGTACCAAGTCAGGAATATGACAGTTGTTATCCATTCGTTTGATGTGTTTGAGTTTTGATTTTCGCCATTTGATTAGGGACTTTCCGTTTTGAATTTTCCTCGGAGTTCGGTAATGTTTTTATTTTACTTATATGTTCTTCGATAATATGGTTAATTCTAAAACAGATAATCGGACAAAGCTATAAATGCCTGAAGACTGAGCAGAACTGCAAGTGATTCAGTATTCGGCAAAATGTAAAAGTGGGATATTCTCATTGAAGCTTAAACTAAATTGCTGTTTAAAATTAAACTATTTTATTTTGGTGAGTGACGTCCTTTCAATTTTGATTTGAAATGTCTTCATCAGCAACACGCAGAGCCGAATTGGCTTATAATGGTTTTATGGAAATATGTTAAAATGGTTGGGAAATGTTTAAAGTATATGTTAAAGATTCTTTTTAGTCTCTTCAATATCTATAATATCCAGTAGGATTTGACACTTTTTTTCATTCTGACGAGTAAAAATAATTCAGAGGAAATTGGTCCTACCGTTTTCCTTGAGCCTTTCCATTTAGTTTTCCATGAGTAATCTTAAAAATAATTTTCAAAAAAATAGCGTAAAGTTGCAACTCAATGAAAAATAATTCGCTATCCCGAAACCCTCGGTTACATTAATATTTATATGATAAATAGATATGGTATGCACAGGAAATAAGTTCGGTATATTTTGGACACAAATCTTCACAGCATTGATTTTGACAAAAAATCAATTAAGAAATGGAGCAGTCCTTTGTTGATGGTTGACAAGTATTTTAGCATGTTATGAGGTATATGACAATCTGACGCATCTCATTCTAATTGACGCATCTGATTTTACTTCTGATATAAAAATGAGGAATAAACAAGCATCCAACAAAAAAATTGGTCACTTTGATCTTCAAAATACGCCTTAAGGTTGGTTTAGATTTTAGACATTAAGGACTTTGAACAACTTCGTATTATAAGGTTATATCAGGGAGATTGAAACAACCTAAAATGACTGTATGACCCTATATCTCACGCTTCATTGAAAAAGAAAACTGAATATGGTGTATTTATTAATATACTAGTACACCTTATCAAGGTGGGTATAGTGTCCGGCTGGAATCATGTTTTTTCGAGTGAATATGATCAAAAATATAAACAAACAGACTTCTTTTCTGGTAAGACGTAAAAAAAAAGAAGCCAGAACCTTATATTTAATATCATAGAAAGTAAGTTAGTATTTGTGATATTTACTCTATTTGTAAGTAATAGCATAGATATAATAGCCATCTATGGTAATAGTTATCCCATGAGGACGCGGTGTGTCAATAACCGTGAAATACAATATGTTTTTTTAACTTGAGGGATGTTGTTCACAAATAAAACATATAATTTATATCATCTTATAGTTGTGATCTTGAAGTTTACGTTTTGGGTGAAATATTTTCTAGATTTTGTTAAAATCAGTTTTAATCCTAAATAAGAATGAAATATTTGCCACTGAACGTTAGTATCGTCAAACCAATTTTATATGACCGATATTTTATTATTTTATTTCTGAAATCTTTGTTAAACATGACGATTGTATTTATTACCATATTATTAATGGAAAAGTCTTTGTTATTATTTTATATCTAAATCGCAAAACGTGTACAATTTATTTGTGAAACATGATCATATACACATGGACATGTGTAATTACAGTGTTTGAGATATCAAATAGTGTATTTATTTCTTAAATTTTTAAATTCAGTGCAAGAATTTGTCATTTATATATATACGGACTCGACGGAATTTTATATTTTGTCCTTGGGACATAACTTTAGCAAATTAATGGTATTTGAATAGTTTGTAGGAGTTAATATCACATAAAGCTAACGCTACTTCTTTAAATTATATGTATGCCGTGTTATAAACAGTAGGGGGGAAAAGTGAACTGCATCGAAAGTTATATATAAACACTTGAAATGGCATGTATATGTGATAATTATATTTAAATCATCTAATTTATTGTAATGACCGAATAAGACATCTAAAGAAGAAAGCCATTAAAAAAAGTTTTTCCTTGAAATATAAAATAAATAGGGGAAAAAATGTTGAAAAAAATTATACCACACTTTAGGATATTTCTAAACGGAGAAGTCTATCAAAATTGGCAAACAGATTCGTGTTTAAATTACTTGAAGTATATTTTCTTTAAAATAAACAATTTTACATTCTGATATAAATTTATAGGTCAGGTATTTGAGTACTACAGAAGACAAAATAAATCAGAGTGCAAAAGGAATGGTAGGAATTTTTGACAGTATTCTGGCTAGAAAATGCATGGAAATGGAGATCGGACAAAATGCATTCTACCATTTGATACCCCAGAATGAATTACTAAGTATAAGTAACATAATAGCCATCCTTTATGCTACATCTGATTCGAATTTCACACATATACATAAAATGTTTAATATTACCGTGAATGCTGGTGTATTAAGATATGACTTTGTATATTTTTAACTTGAATTATTTATTAAGTTAAAACGTATTTTGATATAGTTCTGTTTCCTGTATCCATACCTACCCTCAAT